TGGCGCCCACCAAGGTCTCTCCACGCGGGCTCACCCATAGCACCAGGACTCACCACCTCCACCCCGCGCCCGGCGCGTCTCTGGGCACGAGCGAGGATAAGGAGGAGAAAGAGGCGAGCCAGCATCACACCAAAAAGCAAGCCCGCTACGATGCCCTGCCAGGCCCAAGTGGGCTCGGCCACCCAGCTCCGCGCACGCAGAATCCTCGGGCTGAGAATTAACGCAACCTCCACGAAGAGACAGATGGCGGGGGAATCTTCGCTCAGGCCCATTTCAATGAGTCTGCCCAGCTTGACATGGTCATACAAATTTGGACAGTTCCAGCAAGAGCGTTCCCACAGTGAGCCCCATCAACGTCGCAGACTCGCCAAAGAATACCCGATGCAGCGCAGCTGCTAGCGCCGAGGAGCCCCTCATGGCCGCACACCAGAAGTCACGCGGGCCCCGGCTCCAACTGTCAGGGGCCGAGGCACGCACGCGACTCCACGTTCGCGCAATATGGGGAAGCACACCCCGCACTCGGTCTCCTCCAGCCTTCTCTGGTGACATCGGCGGCCATGTGCCCTCATACTCCATCAGGTTGAGAACAGCCGCAGATTCGTCGAGCGTCCCCGCCGGCAGACGGAGGAGGTCGCGTGGGCCCAGAACGTCCGCCCCCTCGGATTCGGAGCCTGGCATGATCTTCAAAATCGAACGCTCGGTTGGGGCGGGCTCGGGAGGGCCCCCAGGAAACTCCAGGCGAGCACGCTGCAGGGCACGTACGATATCAGCTTGCTGCTCACGAGGGTGCCTGACATTGACCCACCCATCCCTCTTCTCCGCCATGATCATGAGCGGGTTGGAAACTCTGGGCACCAATCAAAACCTCCATGCGCTGTTGCTCCTGCGGTTCGACCTGTCGATGCAAAAGCTCCAGGTTTTGACTTCCACATGTCGGCGAGCCAGGCAGCAGTCTTCTTCTCGAACTGGCATGGCGCATGAACCGCTGCGCGAGCAGCCCACGTCTCAGTCATGCCCATGAGCTCCTCGCGCTCATCGCCGTCCACTAGTGCGAGAGCGCAGACCAGCTCGCACCATCGAAAGACCTCATCCCCTTCCACCCCAGGCTGAACCGCACGACGCTTCAAGCCCATGTCCGTGAGCTATGCCTTGAGGATGCTGGCGGTGGCCCGCACGAAGTCAACGTGCTCGTCGCGCCTACAGAGGGCGAGTGACTTCTTAACCAGCGCACATGTAATGGCCCACCACTCTGCAGGTTCACGTCGAAAGTGGGCGCGCCTAGGAGAGGCCGATGGCTTTTCCCACGTGAACTGGACACTCTCAGCACGGCCCACTAAGGAGACCTGCTTGTCCGCGGGACCCCCATGGTGACTCATCACCACCGCCTCAAAGCACCGCGCACATCTAGCATAATATTGCCGGACACGCCCTGTCGCCGCAGGTGCCATCTCGCGCAGGAAGTGAGAGGGCAAGGCCCAAGACTGATTTACCTTGCAGTCGAACTGCGCCGAGTCGATCTCGACCACTCCAGGGCACCGCGGATCCGGAAAACATTTTTCCACCGCGTGAAACGAAAGGTTCGGACGAGGGAGGCCCGCTCAAAGAGGCCCCAGTCGCGGCCAGCAAACTCGGGGCACGCGCGGAGCTGCCAGCCCGAGAGCGCGGGCGCCGATGGTCAGCACCAGCCGCCCCGCCCCGGTCGCGCATTTCCGCGGGCGGGGGCCCGCTCCGAGGATCAAGGCCCCCGGCCACCCGCATGGGCCCTTTCGCCCCCCCCCCCCCCCCCATGGCTCGCAACGCTCGCCGGCATTGCCAGAATCGCCATCTTCGCCCAGGCCGCGCATCTCCAGGGGCGGGGGGGGGGGCGCTCCGAGGATTCACAGCCCTTCGCCACCCGCACGAGCCCTTCGGGCACCCCCCTCTCTCCCCCATGGCCTGCAATCGTCGCCGGCGCCACCAGGGTCGCCATCGCCGCCCAGGCCGCGCATCTCCAGAAGGGGAGGGGGGGGGCGCTCCGAAGATTTAAAACCCCTGGCCACAAGCATGGGAGCTCCGGACCCCCCCCCGCTGGAACGCAAGCCAAGCTGCCGTTGCCGAAGTCGTCATAACCATTGCCAGTGAGAACTGCCCCCCCCTCCAGCGCCCCCACCTTCGCGGGAGGGGGGGGGCCGTGCCAGCGGGGCCAAGGATGCCCTCAACGCTGCGGCGGTAGCTGACGTCCTGGCAGAGCGCGCCCTCGCCCCAGCGGTCGCGCCAGAGATCCAGGGGGATGCTGCAGTTGATGCCTGCTGTGTAATCCTTATGAGGGGCCCGTGCCAACTCAGGAGGGCCGTCGTCGTCTGGCCCCTGAGAGAGCTCGCCAAAGGCCTCTTGTAGTTCCTCAGGCAAGGCACGCCAACGACGCTCCAAGGCCGCCCCCTTCCGCTGCGAGCTCTTACCAGCGGGATCGGGCCGGGCCCCAGGGCGACAGCGTCGCGGGGGCTCGAGGGAATGATCCAGCGCCAGGCAGCGCCACGGTTGAAAATGACCAGCGAAAGCTCCCAGTCCACAGCGGGCGCCCCAACGGGCGCCCAACACCTGTCGGATCACAACAGCATGCTCGTAGCCCCGCTTAACCACCGCATGATCCAAGAGCCCGCTCCTGCATCGCAAGTGGCCGAACCATGGGCCACAACAACCGCGCCGCCCCACTCCGCAGGGCATCCGCTATCAACCAACATGTGTGGCGGCATATTCAGATCGCCTAGGATGATCCAATGGGTCCGCCAACATGCCCAAGAGCGAAGCGAGTGCGATCATGCGCTCGTGCACAGGCCCGATGATTCCATCGGGGGGCTCGATGCAAAAAGCAAGCACAACTAAGTTCCCTGTCCTGCGATGCCATGCCAGGTCACGGGGGCAATGCCATGGCAGGGGCCGATGGAATACATGGATCGGCTCTGCCTACGAAGGCCGTCGAACGCAACGGCGGCAACTGACTTGCGCGCGAGGACCATCTCGCCACCTGCCGCGCCTTCTTCCGAACGTCCTGTGAAGAGGGAATCGGATTTTTGAGGATTTCCAATCATCCTTGCCAATTTTCAGAAACTCCTGCGCAGCTCGCTGCTTGGAGATGTGCGTCTCGACAATCGCAACTATCTGGTACTGCTTGCCAGTACCCGCCAGCCACCGTTCAGCCTGTGGGCCTCGCTCAGTGATGTTCGCGTAGAGCAACGGGGCGCTCTCCAAGGCGGTGTCGGTGTGGGTAGTGGCCGTGTTACCCTGCATGAGGCCGGCGAACAGTAGCTGCATGAGGAGGAGGAGCCTTGGGAGAGACCTTGGCCACAGGCGCTTTGGACGGGGGCGCGCTGAGGTGCTTGGCTATCGACTCCTTGGCCGCTGCATCCGAAGCCGCCTGCTGCAGCGAGGCGGCAGCCTTGAGCCGATCCGCGTCCACAGAGGATGCCACCGCTGGAGATGAGGCCGTCGCAGATGTCGCCGCCTGTGGCTCAGCGAATGCCGCCGGGCCCACGTCGGCCGCAGAGGCCGCGCCTGCTGCGGGAAGGTCGCCAGGCCCCCGCCGACGCTTGGCCACGCGCTCCTGGTCGAACCCCTGGATGGACTGCATGAGATCCTGAAGCGTCTTGGCCGACTCGCGCTGGGGCCGCGCCGCGTCGAACTCCTGTTTAAACTGCATGAATGTATTATTTCCGCCTTCGTCCATGTCGTCAGGGTCCGCCGTGTTGAATATACCATATTCAAAGACGATTCTGATGGGGCCTGGCGACGAGAGATCACCGGCCTGTTCCTGCTGCGACGCCTGCAACACCTGCTTGTACGCCGTCTCCGCTGTGGCCTGCTGCGTGATCTTCTGAACGTGTACTTCATTGGCGCTCTCAAGCTCACCGCGGATCCTTAGCACCACCGCGGCCGCTTTCTGAGCTGCCTGTTCTGCTCTGCGTAACTCCTGCTTCGCTTTCTGCGCCGCCTGCCCCATGTGTCGGTCGGAAGGGCTTCTTTCGCCTTAGTTAGAGAAGCCTTGATGGCCTTGGCAACCTCGGGGGGCAGGTCCGATGCCTGGAGGAGATCACGCATCTGCTTTGAGCTCGTAGTCGTGTCAGGGCGGCTGGATGGCTGCGCTCCGTCCTTCCAAGGGGTCCAAAGGTCGACCTCGTGCCCACACTGACAGAACGAGTCATTGGCAAAAGAAGACGAAGAGGAGGAAAAGGATGAGGGGGAGGAGGAGGATGAGTCCGCCAGAGACGTAGTAGTGGAGGGGGTGAACTTGGTAGAAGGGCGAGCGTACACATAATCCACCCTCACATGGAACAGGAATCCCTCATCTCCTCCTTCCCTCCTCGCTGAACCAAAGTACCACACATATACCATCGGAAGGCAATCGAGTTGTTTCTTCCCTCCTGTCCCCCGCCCCTCTAATATAGAACACATAGTATCACAGGGCGAAATCCTCCCCACCTTCCTCCCTCGTCCTCCTAGAGGAATACGATACATAATCGATGCAGTTGGCATGCGCTCAGTGTCCCCCCACCCCACCCTGTCTCCTCGTCACCCCATTGGGATACAGTAGACATGGAATCGCGATACCATAGGAAAGTCCTGTCCCTCCCATGCACAGTGCTGGCGTGCGTACAGCCGCTTGCACGGTGCCAGCGATCATCGCACAAGATCCCTCCAGCCTGGCGCGATCGACGCGATTGAACGGAGACTCAGCAGGGCTAGGGCGCGATGGAGGCCACACACGCAAAAGTGGCCCAAAGCGAGCGTGACCTTAGTGCGCGGCGTGCTGGACCGCTGCACGCGATGCGATAACAGCGGCTTGCGTGCTTGGAGTTGCCCCCCTCCACCCTCCCCCCCCCTCGTCCTCTCCTCGCCCCCCTCATCGTCATTTTCCTCCTGGGGGCAGGGGGACACTTCCTCCTCCTCCCGAGCAATGGCGATGCCCCCCACCTCGTCCTCTCCTCTCCTCCCTCGTCGGTTTCTTCCTGGGGGGAGGGGGGCGCCTCCTCTTCCCGAGCAATGGCGATAGCCATCTTCAGGCTGTGGAACTGGCTCCACGGCACGCCTTTGTCGCCCTCCTCCCCTCGGGCCGCGCCAGGGTCTCTCCGGGAAGAAGGGAGGGGAGGAGGAGGAGGAGGAGGAGGAGGACGAGGAGGAGGAGGGGGAGGAGGAGGGGGAGTAGGAGGAGGAGGAGGAGGAGACGGAGGAGGCGGGGAAGGATGAGATGAGATGAGATGAGGTGGTATGATATGACATGACATGACATGAGATGGGATGGGATGGGATGGGATGGGATGGGATGGGATGGGATGGGATGGGATGGGATGGGATGGGATGGGATGATGGATGGGATGGGATGGGATGATGAGATGAGATGAGATGAGATGAGATGAGATGAGATGAGATGAGATGAGATGAGATGAGATGAGATGAGATGAGATGAGATGAGATGAGATGAGATGAGATGAGATGAGATGAGATGAGATGAGATGAGATGAGATGAGATGAGATGAGATGAGATGAGATGAGATGAGATGAGATGAGATGAGATGAGATGAGATGAGATGAGATGAGATGATGATGATGAGATGATGATGAGATGAGATGAGATGAGATGAGATGAGATGAGATGAGATGAGATGAGATGAGATGAGATGAGATGAGATGAGATGAGATGAGATGAGATGAGATGGGATGAGATGAGATGAGATGAGATGAGGCAGCGGCCTGAAAGCAGTTCGGGGGGGGTAGCCAGGCCCCGAATCGGAGGCCTCAAAATGACAGGCCTCCTCAAAATCCTCGGCGTCTGCACTGAGCTCCAGGAGGCGCGCACCCAGGGCGGCAACGTCTGGGAGCCCTTCCCCCTCCAGGCCGAACGTCTTCAGCACGGCAGCTTGAGACCCCAATCTCTCGAGAGAGCCCACACCCCGCAGCCCAGATCCAACCCCCGCCATCACGTCCTGAGCCGTCGTGCTGGGGGTGGCCCCTAGGGACCCAAAAGTGGAAGCCGTACGCACACGAATGTCCTCGGGCACCCCTGTGGGTGGATCGAGGCGAAAGGCCTTTCCAACCTTCATGAGGGCCAGCGACCGCCTTTGGCAAGGCGCAGGTGCCCACTCAGGCCCGAGGACGCGTGCTCACGGAGGCACGGCAAAGGGAGGGCCCTAGTGGGCTCGTACCCAAAAATCCATGCACGAAGACGGGCCGTCCTCGTGGCCAGGACGGGCCGTGACGCGGGCGAACAGCAGCGGGTGGCTGTTGAGGCTGTAGCCTGCATCCCGAAACTGCTCCCAGCCTTTAGCGGGGGCCTGCACTGGGGCCTCGTCGGCGGGGGGGGGCACAGGCCGTGGGGCCTCCGCAGCTGGCTCGGAGGCTTACGTCGCCTCACGCTGGCTCCGGTGCGAATCTGTCATATCAGTGTGACTACGAGCACCACCACATCATCATCATCATCATCATCATCATCATCATCATCATCATCATCATCATCATCATCATCATCATCATCATCATCATCATCATCATCATCATCATCATCATCACCATCATCATCATCATCATCATCATCATCATCATCAGCATCAGCATCAGCATCAGCATCAGCATCAGCATCATCATCATCATCATCATCATCATCATCATCATCATCAGCATCAGCATCATCATCAGCATCCTCATCAGCATCAGCATCAGCATCAGCATCAGCATCAGCATCAACATCAGCACCATCAGCACCATCAGCATCATCATCATCGTCATCATCAGTGTCATCATCAACATCATCAACAGCAGCACCATCATCATCAGCATCATCGTCATCATCATTGTAATCATTGTCATCATCATCACCATCATCATCAGCATCATCATCATCAGCAGCATCAGCATCATCAGCATTATTATCATTGTCATCATCATCGTCATCGCTACCGCCATCGTCGCTATCATCAACACCATCATCATCATCAGCATCATCACCACCGTCAACATCATCAGCATCATCAGCATCATCATTGTCATCATCGTCATCGTCGCCGTCATCATCAGCACTATCATCATCATCATCATCATCATCAGCAGCATCAGCATCAGCATCAGCATCAGCATCAGCATCATCATCACCATCATCATCATCATCATCCTCAGCATCATCAGCATCATCATTAGCATCCTCGTCAGCAGCAGCATAAGCATCAGCATCAGCATCAGCATCAGCATCAGCATCATCAGCATCATCAGCACCATCAGCATCATCATCATCGTCATCATCAGTGTCATCATCAACATCATCATCAACAGCAGCATCCCCATCATCATCAGCATCATCGTCATCATCATCATTGTAATCATTGTCATCATCATCACCATCATCATCAGCATCATCATCATCAGCAGCATCAGCATCATCAGCATCATTATCATTGTCATCATCATCGTCATCGCTATCGCCATCGTCGCTATCATCAACACCATCATCATCATCAGCATCATCACCACCGTCAACATCATCAGCATCATCAGCATCATCACCATTGTCATCATCGTCATCGTCGCCGTCATCATCAGCACTATCATCATCATCATCATCATCATCATCATCATCATCATCATCATTGTCATCAGCATCATCATCATCATCATCAACATCAACATCATCATCATCATCATCATCATCATCATCATCATTGTCGTCATCATCGTCATCGTCATCGTAATCGCTGCTATCATCGTCATCCTCAGCATCACCAAAATCACCATCATCATCAGCAGCAGCATCACAACCACCACCATCATTAGCATCATCATCAGCAGCATCATCATCCCCGCCACCACCATCGTCATCAGCTTCATCAGCATCACCATCATAAAAGTCATCATCATCATCATCACCACCAGTATCATCATCACCATCACCATCATCAGCATCAGCATCAGCATAAGCATCATCATCACCCGTGTCATCATCATCGTCATCGTCATTGCCATCGTCGCTATCATCGTCACCATCATCATCACCACCATGATCATCATCACAATCACCATCATCCTCATCAGCATTGTAAACATTGTCGTCATCATCGTCATCGGCGCCGCCATCATCATCATCATCATCATCATCATCATCATCATCAGCATCGACCTCATCATCATCAGCATTGTCGTCATCATCGTCATCATCATCGTAATCACCGCTATCATCGTCATCAGAATCAGCATCATCATCATCATCGAAGTTCCCATCAACATCATCATCATCATCATCATCATCATCATCATCATCATCATCATCATCACAACCACAACCATCATCATCATCAGCAGCATCACCCCAACCGCAATCGCCATCATCATCATCATCATCATCAGCATCATCATGAAAATCAGCAGCATCGTCGCCACCATCAGAATCATCAGCATCATAAGCATCAGCGTCATCATCATCAGCATCATCAGCTCCATCATCACCACCACCAGCATCATTATCGGAATCACCATGATCATAATCAGCGTCAACGTTATCATCACTGTCATTTTCATCATCAGCCTCATCAGCACCATCAGCATCAGCATCAGCATCAGCATCAGCATCATCTGCATCATCATCATCATCATCATCATCATCATCATCATCGGCAGCATCATCATCATCAGCATCATCATCAGCATCATCATCATCATCATCATTGTCACCATCGTCGTCATCGTCACCGTCGCTATCATCATCATCATCATCATCATCATCATCATCATCATCATCATCATCGTCATCATCATCATCGAAATCACCATCATCAGCATCATCACCACCATCACCATCATCCTCATCAGCAGCATCATCATCCCAACCACCACCATCATCATCATCATCATCAGCAGCAGCATCACCGTCATCACGCTCACCATCGTCCAAATCATCATCATCATCAGCAGCAGCAGCATCATATTCATGAGCATCATCATCATGCACAGCAGCATCACCATCATCGCCATCACCATCACAATCATCACGATCACCATCATCACCATAACCATCACCTTCATCATCATCGTCGTCATCAGCATGCTGTGGGATCTATTGAGGCCCTCTTGGGCCGCCTTGGCGGCCTCTTGGGCCGTCTTGGGGCCATCTTGGATGTCCTGGACCTGAGTTGACGCCAGAGGGCCAAACTGGCCCGAAGATTACCCCGAGGGGGAAGGGACAGCCTTACGGCGTGGTTCGATTCACCACGGGTTGGCGAGGTTGGAGGGCCAAAGGTGGCCGCTGGGAAGGGCGGGACAGTCTCGGCTTACAGAGCAAAGAGTCTCTCCCAAGACCTCCCTGGGACGACTGGCCCAGAACTCCCCCTCGCCGACAGCGTCGGTGGACTTTCTCAATGTCTGCTTGAGAGGGGCTGGACCAGGATCTAGGCAGTGCTCATTGTGCCAGGTGGGGTCCGCGCCGCTGGTGTAGGTGCTGGCCTGCAACGGTGTTTGCGCATTGAGTTCCCATGTTCGAGCATCTAGTCACAAAACTATTGCATATGGGCCGCTACTTGGCTTAGCCTAACCTAGCCCCGCTTAGCCTATACTAGCGAAGCTTATCCTGAGCATTGGCTTTGGCTTTCGCACTCTAGTTATACCTTCATTTCTAACCGAGTCCAGGCTGGCTTCGCGCTGCTTAGTTTAGCAAAGCGCACATTGGATTAGCTCCAGCTTCAATTCTCGACGCTTCGCGCATCCCCACCAGCCCATCCGGAAACGGTTGGCAGACGGGCTGCCCTCCATCTTAGGAGGGGCCTCATTGGGGCTATTTGTGGTCCGTCTTTTGGGTCAGTCAGATGCCAATTGTGACGATGACGAGTATCATGACAATTGTGCTGATGGTGGTGACAATTGGGTCAGTCAGATGGCAATTGTGCTGATGTTGGTGACGACGACGACGACGACGACAACGGTGGCGGCGTTCACGGCGACGGCGACGACAACGACGACGGCGGCGGCGGCGGAGAGCGACGACGACGACGAGAACGATGCTGATGATGATGACGATGACGATGACGATGACGACGATGATGATGATGATGCTGATGATTATGAT